CGGATTTTCGTTAAAGTTATTTCGCCTGGCGAAATCGCCTGTGGGCGAATGCGAAAATTTTGCAATTGTGACGGATGGGCAATGGCAGCTTGAACTTTCAAATTTAATATCGGATGAAAGTAGCAGCGAGCTCAATGGTAAGTGTGGAACGCATGCAGCGGAGTTTGATGAATCACTTTGGTTCTGTAGTTAAATATTAAGTTCAAATATTAACGTGGTTAAATTCTTGTTCCACCGTTTTTTGTTTGTTGTTTTGTGGAGCGGAATATTTTTTTTTTCTTTTTCACCGTCCATTTGAATGCGAAAATTGAGAAGAAAAATCTCTACAAAGAAGTAGCGAGTAAATCAGTTTATAAGCTTCTTTCTGATTAATTGGTGAATGAACAACAGTGTAGCTTAACATATTAAAGACCCCGTTTATTTATACACGCCCTTAAATTTATTCGTTTCTGAAAACCAGACGTTCAAATAATATTCAATTCTCTCCTCGAGGGAAGCTACGCACGAGAGATTTCGCTCGATGTGCACGTTTTATACACCTTGACGAGCATTTGCTGATAAGAACTGTGTAAGTTTCTCAAAAGCCTACTAAAGAGAAAACTTAAAACACACGGTATTTAATATTTTAGTACACATTATCCAAGAGGTCACAAACTGGACCAGAAAGCCAGTAGTGTTGCTGAAGGCGCCGGCTACATCTGATAAAAGCAAGCAGAAGTCAATGAACGACACTGAGAAGAAAGGTGACGAGTCAAAAGTGAGAAGGAAACGGAAATCACAAGAAGAAGCAAAAGAAGATGAAAATCTGGCAAAGAGGATCATGACTGAAGGAGGTGACATCGAGAGAAACGAAAGGCAACAAGGAGACCTTCAAAAGTTTCAGGATGGTAGGGCTGAATTAGCACTTGTAGTTCGTTTACCTGATTTTCAAGTCATAAATTTCGCTACTTTGGAAATTCTGCGGTATTCCTAGTTTATAAACACTGCCTTGTTTATACAACGAAAAACGCTCACTTGGTGCATTCGCTATGCAAAGATAGTTTCTTTTAAATTCCGGCTAAAAACTGTATTATTATCACTTTGATGGGCATTGTGGCGCATTTTGCGTGCTAAAAAAAAGAATTCGCCGGGCTAAAATGTATTTTTAAAAATAAACCAAGACAACCAATCTTCGCGCCGTCTTCTTGTAGCGTTGGTAAAAGAAACCGTGGAGCTATTTTTAAAGCCCAAATCATGGCTGAAAACACAGAAAACAACAAAAAATTTGTAAATTCTCAATCTTCTCAGGTAGGGAAGAAGATCTTAAAAAGTTAGATGCTGATTCCATGGCCGATAGCGAAGTGCATCTAAGTTTTGCGGATTCAAGAAAAACAAACTCTGTTTAACCAATTATGCCAAACTGTCAGTCTTGCAATTGCACAATTACTTGCAATACTTACAAATAAGTTAATCCATTTTTTCTTTCACGTCTTTTACGATTCTTCACAACACACATAGGGGAAGATTTTGTAATTTTTAGCCAGCTTTGGTATCAACCAAAGCTGGCTAGCTTTTAGCATTGGTATTTTCATTGTGCGAAAATAAGAGCCCGGCATTCAAGTTATAAACGCTCGCTGTCAAGTTTTTTTTTTTTTTTTTTTTTTCAGTTTTTTTTTTCTCAATACCCTCCAAAGTGATAATGATAGTAATAGAGTTTATGGGTTTCTCATTGTAGGGGCAGGGCAAAACCTAGGGACAATTCAAAAGAAACTGAAGCATCGGATTTTTTTTTCAGCTCTGAAGGATATGAATGGCAGTGTTGCACTAAGCGAAGTGCAAATCAAGTGTGGCATATGTTCAAAAAGCTATGCTTGTCGTCACACAGACAGGACATTTAATGGAAAAGTCAGCTACTTCAAAGCGAGTAAGTAATGATCACTTATCTTTACATATTTTATCAGACATGATAAATTAGCGTTCGTGACAGTCTTGCCTGTTAAGTCCTTTAACTATTTTAATATATATTTTGTATTTTTTTTCACACTTGAAAATGACCTCATAGAGGTCGAAACGTGACTTTTTAGCGTTAATTTTTATAAAATTTATGAAATTACTCATCCACAATTGACGAAAAGTAGCTAAACTTAGAGAGATAAGAGACGAATAATCATCATCAAAGAATTACAATGGGAGCACTTATTGAAAAACGTCAACGAGACGACTTTTTTTAATACTGAAAGGTTAAAAGCGGCTGGAAACCGAGAGAGGGATGCTTAGAGCATGGAAATTCGTGATATCTAAACTAAATACTTAAATAATTACAGACCACTTCAACAAGTATCTAAGCAGAAAGAACAAGAATGATGCCACTCTTAAGAGTCAAGGTCGCATGGATGCATTTCTGATGAAAGCCAGTAACTCGATATCATCCAAACAAAAGGCAGGATATATTGCTAACAATGAGGCAGACATGAGCAAAGAGGACTTTGACGGCGCAGATGCCACATTGGCAGAGAAGTAATTTCATTTCAGTTGCTTGTGTGATGAACAAATCAAGAGCTTTCAACGTCATAAAGTTAGAGTCGCGATAAACTGGCGTTGTGCGTATAGCTCCATAGATTAAATGACCTTGAAATGTACAAATTGTTCGGTTTGTTTACCCCAGTGCAAGAGACACGTAAGCCAATAAATGTTATTTTGGTTATTACTTCATTACAGATCATATCGTTTGATTTGCCAATAAAATGGAGCCTAATTTTAGTATACTTCGGCTTGTTAGTGAATATAAAGACGAGTTATTCCCAGATGCCTTGGACTCTGATTACGACAAAGGCTGTTTAGCTGGCCCTCAGGGATCTGTACTGGACATCAGCGTCAAGGAGGACAATCCAAATTATGATGCCCCCGTAGTTTCAGATAATGATACAGATGCAAGTTCCGCTGGGAGTGAAACTGAGAGTGAAGATTCCGAGTTTATATCATGCCCTATGTAAGTGTTTCTGCTTGCGCTCCATCCCTATGTTTTCAGTCTCAAGCTTTCCTACAATTTGTTACACTTTTTTTTCTTTCCCTATCTACCAGCTCTCTAAATGACGCTCATCCACTGGCTGTGAAACTCAACAAGCTCATTGAAGATGGGAAGATACCAGAAAGTTGCATTTATTACAAGTTCCTCAATGATACAATGTTGTTTGCATTGACTGATCCCAAAACTGCGTCTGGCTTTAAATGGGATGACGAGGTATGTGAATTTTTCTTGACCATCAAATACCTTGGAGGTGAGAGAACAAGAAAGTTCGTCCGAGGGCCAGGCTTCTTCGGAACAGGGAGAGGCGGAGAAAAAGAATTCAAATCGTTCGCGGATTTTAACTTGTGTGGCCCCTCCTTAAACGCGACAAAACGATGCCAATCAGGCTACACAACAGAAAGTGGAATGATTAAGCCCCATTTGCAGTCACTCCATTCCCTGTGTCAACATCCAAAAGCAGATCTACATGCGATTATTGATAACGAGAAGGTTCGCGCCATCCCAGTAGCTTTAGCAAGTGACGGCACGGCTCTGAAGCCAGGCCTAGAATACGACTCAGTCTCGACATGTAAGAGGTACTAACAGTTAAAAAATCCATTTCACGGTGCAGATTGATACGTATGACAACCAAATTTTTGGGCAAAAAAAAAAAAAAAAAGAAACCTCGCAGAAAAGCCACGAGAGCCGTTGTATAATAAGTGTAGTGAGTTTTTGTGGACGTCTTGGAAAAAAGACTTCCGTAGCTTACAAATTAAAATTAGGTATCCCAGGGGCTAGAGTGGATGTTTCATTCTTTGTAGAATTTACCTCTCTTGACTTACTTCGATGCCCCGTAGTCGACAGGAAACAAATTCACATCTATAATAAAAGTTTTGGTGAATTTTATCGGTATACTAGATTTGCAAACAGAAGTGGGGTAGATGAGCACGTTGCTAAATTAAAAAACAACGTTAACGAGGTTTAAGTGAAAACAAATAATGAATTATTACAAGTATTACACTTCGTCTAGAGTTTAAAGTCTTAAAACTGGGCAAATTGCATAATAAATGTGAATAATTAACGTGTATTTTTAATTATTAGCTGAGATTTACCGACAATCGACAAAGGTCAAAAATCTTAACTGACAACCGACAAAGTAATGAAATTTTAACCGACAACCGACATTTTGACCCCCCATTCAGACTCTCTGACTCGGGCTAAAGGACACAAGTGATGGAAGGCACAAGTACACACAAATGCATGACTGCTTAGCCTACACATGAATCCATTTACCCAGTCGATCCAGATGGTTGAGGCTGGGGAATGCACAAATGTTGGGTTGTTTGCATAGTACATGTATTTGGATGTAAACCATAGAGTTCAGCTATAGCTGTCACAAAGGAGGGAAGGAGGAGTCCTTCTGGCCTACATGGATTTAATATATATCCACCTGTCTCTTTCACTATGTGCATTGTAATGCCCTTGGTCCTTTAACCAATTTAGTTGTTCCTTGAAGTGTTTTTCAATTCTTTCATGGAGTTCCTTCCACGTTGAAACCACATTCTCCTGAAGCAAATGCCCTCCTTGATTTGTGCAACAGCGTTAATTTAACTCAGTTGATTAAAGAGCCGACGCGGGTGACTGAAAATTTGTCAACTCTTATTGATGTGATCATGACCTCCAGCAACAATATAGTAGAAGATAGTGGAGTGGTCGTATCTCACATAAACGATCACTTTTTAGTGTATACTTCTTTGAAACTCAAGTTACTTAAGTCTCCATCTGGCTCTGTGAATATAAGATCCTAGAAGAATTACGATCATGATAAATTTGTCGAGGATCTCAAACAAGTGTCATGGCATGATACCATCCTTGTTGACGACGCGAGTGAAATGCTTGATCACTTCAACGCAAATTTTCTCAATGTGCTTGAAAGTCACGCCCCTATTTAACCAGTGAGGATTAGACCCCGTGGCTGCTCCTTTGTCGACACAGAAATGAAAGAGCTTATGCATAGCAGAGATGGCTTATTAAGAAATGCCTGTCGCACTGGTATGCCTTTGGATTGGGAGTTATACCATGATTGACATGAAGAAGTGAAGACTAAGTTAGGAGAGGCGGAAATAGGATACCTACAAGAAGAACTACAGTGCTCTCAGAACACCAGGTAGAAGTGGAAGGTTATTAGAAGTTGCATTCCCCACAGGGAAACAACTCAGCAAGTATACACAAGAAACTAGGAGGAGGTTGCAGACAAGTTCAATCAATTCTTCACTTCTGTGGGTGCTAGGGCCTTCAAGGCTTTCAGGTCCCTATTGAACGTCCACAATCTGGCCCCTCTATTGGCCATTGTTCCAGATAATGAAATCTCAGAAGTGGACAAGTTTTGTTTCCATCCAGTGTCTAGTAGGGAGATTCAGAAGGTTGTGATGTCTTTACCGTCAAACAAAGCCCCTGGTCATAATAAAGTGTCAATGTCTGTACTTAAGGATGCTCTTCCATGTATTCTTCCAATTCTTACAGTTATTGTTAACCGTTCCTTATTGACCTCAGTCTTCCCATCAGCCTGGAAAAAATCTGAGGTCGTTCCATTATTGAAAGAAGGGGACCACGAGATTGCTAATAATAATTGCCCCAGTCTCGCTTTTGCCTGTAGCATCTAAAGTGTGCAAACGAGTGGCTCTGAACCAGCTGGCCACCTATATGAATAACAACAGGTGCCTCACTGAACACCAAAGCGGCAATAAAAAATTACACTCATGCAAAACACTAAACGTTATGACGACAGATAAGGCACTAGAAGCAATGGATTCGAAGAAATTGACCCTTGTGGTCCTACTGGATTTGTCAAAAGCCTTTGACAGTATTGACCACTGCAGACTTCTCTCCAAACTACAGGCTCTTGGAATTGGTCGTACTGCATTAGAATGGTTTAGAAGTTATCTAACCGGGCGCCAACAGTACGTCAGGATTGGTTTTGAGACCTCAAACATCGGCCCAATCACTCATGGAGTTCCACAAGGCTTGATACTGGTGCTGGCCCTCTTTAACCTATACATAAGTGATTTACCTACCATCCCGGAAAGTGGCTCATTGGAATCATTTGTTGACGACTCAAAGCTGTACTTGTCGTTTCCTGTCAAAGATGCTACCGTAGTGGTGCAGCTGATAAACGAAGACCTGGCTAAGATCGCTACGTGGTGCTGTTATAATGTTCTCCTCGTCAACCCTGATAAAACTAAACTCTTAGTGATGAGAAATTGCCAGATGCTGTTAAGACTCCCCAAAGATTTTCATGTCACTTTACCAGGCAAAGAAGTTACTCCATCCAACTCAGTGAGGGATCTCGGCATAGAAATGGACGTAATGCTAAGCTTTGACGAACATATTACGAACACTGTCTCATCTTGTTTTGCTAGCCTATGCCAGATTAATAGAATTAAACATCTTTTTGACTCAAAGTCTTTGGAGAATGTTATCCACGCTTTGGTATTTAGTCAATTGTTTTATTGTTCTCCTGTATGGTCTAGTACATCAAAGAAGAATGTCTCCAAACTGCAAAGTGTCCAGAATTTTGCTGCAAGAGTTGTCACAGGCTCGAGAAAATTCGAACACATAACACCTGCCCTGAGGGACTTAAATTGGCTTACTGTTAGCAGTATGTTGAAATATACTGTTGCCATTCTCAGGTTTAAATGTGTTGATGGACTAGCGCCTAGATATCTCTGTTCCCGCTTTGTCACTAAAGGCTACTGTACACGATCAAAATACTAGAAATATGAACAAATTTGATATTCTGTGATACAAATCTGCTGCTAGGCAGCAATCTTTTCTGTACTGATCAGTTACTATGTGGAACTCATTGCCGACTGCTATCACTGATTGTAATAACCTAGCAATGTTTTAAAGGAAATTGAAAGATTATCTTTTCCAAATGTATTTTTCAAATAGTTAATTGTATCATTATACCATGATAGATAATATTTTATATTCATTTGTAAATTACGATTGATAAGTAGTTTTTCTGTTGTAGACAATAACCAATGCATTTGTGTAAATTAGGACTGAAAAGCCTTCTTGGAGCCTTAATAAAGATCTTTCTTTCCTTCTTTAAAATGATCATGAATAAGAGCAGTGATGAATACTTAGCTCTGATGACTTACAGAGACACTCCAACACACAATGGCTACTCACCAGCCCAACTCAGCATGGGCCACAAAATACACTCAAGAATTCCCTGTCACCCCAATGAACTGCTGTCACAGATCCCTGACTATGACCAAGTAAGGAAGAAAGAGAGGGAATATCGAATCAAAATAAAGTCTTACCATGATCACAGACCCAGAGTTGTTGAAGGAGAGGAACTGTCACCTGATGACCGCGTGTGAATTCAAGATATGAAGGTTGAGGGAACTGTGATCAAGCCACATGAATGTCCAAGATCTGTAGTTATTCTGACCCCACATGGCAAAGTGCAGAGAAACAGGACAATGACTCAAAGAGTTCCTAAGGAT